TTTATTCAATAAAATCGGTAAATAAAAGTATTATTACAATTATCATATGATTTGTCTTTGGGCATACTCTAACATCCACTGGTATATTACTTTTATCCAAATAACCTCTAACATCATAATTTTCCTTAACCAAAGTCTCAACTTCAAATTGAGTTGCCATTTGAAATTCATTTTCTTGATTTAAATGTCGAAAATAGTTTGTAAAACATAGTGGATGAAGAGGGCAACTTCCCTGCTCAAATTCGATAGTGCAATGACAATAGGTTTGATGATCGATAAATGTTATCTTTTAAATCTTAAGTTACCCATGTATCTTATAAGAAACCCAAAAAAAGGAAAACAATCCACTATGCATTAAGTGAAACATACAAGAAAACAACCCACTATTTTAATCATCTTGAATAATGGAGGGAAAATGTAACATCCCAATCATCGGGTCAGTGGCCAGAATGTAAAAATTATTAACTTAGTGGTTGAGTTAGAATAGTTGAAAATTTCAAGGATTTATGGTGGAATTTTTATGTAGGTATTAATAGCAATTTTGGATGAGTGGAAAAGGCATTATGGTCTTTTTATGGTAAAGGATAATTATATTCTTTATTAAGGGATAAACATGTGGAAAGTGGAGAATTCTTGAACCATTTCTTGCTATCTTCTTCTTCTTATCGTGGACTTCATTAGCAAAGGTAAGTTTTTGTAAATCTAATGATTCCTTCAATTTTTGGTTTGGTATTGAAAGTTTGGGTCTTATATAAGATTAAGGAAAGCTTGTATAAGATTAAAACAACAAGAGGAGTGATTTAGACATGGATTTGTAGAATGGGTTTTGAAATTAATTGTTAATATGGTGTAGTTTTTGGAGTTTTATTGAGATATTTGACTTGTTAATGATCAAACTAAAGAAGTAGGAGTAATATAAATGATTAAGAACATGTTTGAAATTTTGGTTTTATTTTAAGATTAAAGTGTTCAAATGGGATTTTGGATGATTAAGAGTATTAAATGGATATAAGATGGTTTGGATGTATAAGGTTGAGTTTAAAGGCATAATGAAGGATTACGGTAAGAGATTTAGGAAGTTTTTGATTGATTTTCGAAATGGAAATAACATTTCTGGGCATAGAGTATCGGTACCGGAAGAACAATACTGATACTTCAAGGCTAAATCAGTGGAATTCTAAGGGTGGTATCGATACTGTGTAGGAAGTATTGATACCAAGGGTATAGTATCGATACCATTTTCAAGATAAATTTCCAGAACTTCATAATGATATCGGTACCGTAGGGGGTATCGATACTACAGGAGAGAAGTATCGGTATTGTAGTGGTAGTACCGATACTACTAAGTATAAAATGAGGAATTAAATGTTTATTTCAACTTAAATTATTATGATTGGAGATAAGTGATTCGAAGTACGATATTAATTTTTGATTATTTTGTGTAGTTGTTGAACATAATCAACTTCCGGTCAACTCGACATTATAAGCTTCAATTCAAAAGTATTAAGGACTTTGTTTAGGACTGCAGTGAGGCAAATGTGAGTGCAACTCATTGGTTTTATATTAGATTTGAGGGCGGCTTGAGATAAGCCAACCTCAAATTTTTCGATCGAAAACCTTTTTAAATTCTTTTATGTTATATTTTACAATGTTTTATACAAGTTATATTATTTAAGCTATGTTTTGATTTTTATGAATGCGTAACTATGAAAATGTGACATGTGGAATGTGAATACAAAGATATTCGATGTGAAAGTGCCTATGTGAATAAGATACACTTTGAATAAGGAATGATAAATAATTATGTGGTTAAAAGGCCAAGGTATATGTATGAGGATTAGAGGTATAGTTGGCATGCCAAGAGTCGAGGGTTTTATGTGGTCCTTCGGGACAATTATGTGCCACTTTGGTGCAAACCTATGTGGTCATTCAGGATAATTATATGGCACTTTGATGCAAATTACGAGCTATGGTGACAACATTAGTGCACAACCTCAATGTACTCAAATACCTAGAGTTCCCAGTAGTATATGTTGGGTATTTGGAAACAAATCTATATAAGACGAATAATACACATAAGTATACCTTCTTGTTATGGAGAATAATTTTGGAATTTTTATGAAATGTTTCGATATAATAAATAAAGATTTCTTCTATAAAGTTAGTACTATTTAGTTTTTGCCTCACTAAGTCATCGACTTAGCGTGTGATTATTCCACACGTAGCTCTGAAGAAAACGAAAGATTAAAACTAGGCGAGGATAATGTACTACCTTGAAGATCAGATCAAGACCAATTGAATGTAGGTTTTCTGAAATTTTGTAAACTGTTGGCATGTATTATCAGTTTAATTGGAAATGCTCTGATTTATTTTGTAAACTCATATATTTTGCATTTATGTAAATTATTAAAGCTTTTATGTAAGCATGAATGTGAAATTGTTATCTTATTTTAAGTTAAGGTTTTCTACTTTTTTATTTTGGTTAAAAATTTAAATGGTCATTCTTTGATAATTATTTATGGTTTAAAAAGTCAATGTGACACCTCAGATTCGTATTCGAGTCGGGTACGGGTTAGGGGTATTACAGAAAATGCCCAGATTCTTGATGATGACACCCTTCATCCAAATCCCACCATGCATGGAGTTATTACAAGATCAACCCATCTCAGTTCGAATATCTTGTCGAAGTGATCAACTGTTTGAATCTATTTTCACCATAGATAGATCTCTCCAACCCCATGTTTGGTTAGAGATAATCACTGACGTTTGGAGGGTTGCCTTCTAGATCCAGATGCTGAAGATATACACAATGACGAGGGGACTAATATACTTCCGTTCGGGATCAATCCGACGATGAACAGAGGAGATTTGAAGAGTGCATATGTAACACCCCTAACCCGTATCCGACCCAAATACGAGTCCGAGGTGTCACATTGATTTTTCAAAACATTTACTTGTATAAAATAATGAGTAATTTAAAACTTTTATAACATATAGATGACTAACTTACATAAAATACATTTACATATAACTTATTCAGAGCTTATGCAATATACTCTTTTGAATACATGCCAACTAGAACTTTATATACAAAAATACATATTATTCACCTCTTTTCTGATCTGACATTCGGTAAGGAGAACTGACCTGTCTTGCTCCACATTGCTCTTTACTCTTCTCAAAACCTACGTGTAAATCACTTACATGCTAAGTCTATGACTTAGTGAGGCAAATAAACATATAATGTAAACTATAACTTGTAATCATGCATGAACAATTACTGTTACCATAGCATACCCAAACATATATCTTCTCATCCATCAAATCCATACATGCATATAATTATCTTCATTCCTATCATTATCATTTTATTATCATTCATATTTCTATTCTCTTGCTCATATGATTTATTATGTTCATATCATATATCTTATAACATATACAATATTCATTAACACACACATATATCATATCATATAATTCATATCACAAAACATATATATATATATATATATCACATACATTGTATTCAATGTTATCTCTTATTAGCCCATGTACACCTGTGAGAACTGTAAATATGAGTCTATTGAGGTTGCACTATGCTGTCACCACAGCTCGTAAGGGGTCCCATTATGGGCTATGAAATTTTATCCCGAAGGACCTATGTACTATATTTGTCTCGAATGACCACTCCTTAAGAACCATATACATATTCCAATGGATCAAATCTGTCTCAAAAGACCCTGTAAATGTTCCAAAGGATACATATATGTCCCGAAGGACCGCGTAGAACCCTCGACTCTTGGCATGCCAACTATACCTATAGCTCTCGTATCATATAACATGGGCATTTTCACTTATATCATTCCACATATACACTTTCATATCATATGTCATATAAGCTCATAGCTTCTTTCACATATACATATAGTCACATAGTTTCTTTTCATATTATTACATAGTTCAATTTCACATATGTTCATATATATACATCACATAGCACAGATTTCTTATAACATTACATACCAAAAGCATGTTAACCCATATAATCATGCAACATATACAATAATATGTCACCACATCGACTCCTGCACACATATGAACCATAGCAAAAACATACTTCTATCTAGGAATTCATGCATTTTACTATTGGAAATAGATTTGTCACAAGTCTTATTTCTCATTAAACATTATATACTAAATAATATGCATTCACTTGGGCCTCACTAAGTTCCAATCCACTTTTATGATTTCCTTTCTTTCGATCGAATCTTGACTTGATAATCGTTCCGGAACTTGTTCGTGCTCGATATCTATATAATCATACATTGATACATATCAGTATCCAATTGATATATTCTAATCTATAATTTCTTAGACCAAAAGAATTGTCTATTTCAATTTTCCCTTGAAGTGCATCGATGCATTCTACAGTGCATCGATGTATTCTACAATGCATCGATGCATTCATTAACATATGCATCGATGCACTACCCATGCATCGATACACAAATTACCTTCGATGTTTTCATTTTAAGGGGATGCATCGATGCACTCCTTATGCATCGATGCACCATTTTCATTCGATGTTTCCATTTTTAGGGGTGCATCGATGCACTTCTTGTGCATCGATACACACTGAACAATTTCTAGAAATTTACCCTTGATGCATCGGTACACATTGAATGTGCATCGATGCACATGGCCCATAATTCATTTTTATGCCCTAACATCCACTCTTTTCAGCTTAATACTTCTATTTTAAGCCCCTATCATGTCATTAAACTCAATTACCATTACTTAAACCAACTTATATCCATATAAACCATCTTTATCTTCCATATCTCTTCATGATTCTTAAAATTTAAGAATCTTGCTAAACTTTCAACTTTGTTATTAATCCTTTCTAACTTCATATATTTCTTATTCTTAGTGATGACAAGTCAAATTCCTTCTCTAAATTCACTTATTAACTCATTTCCAGAAATTTATCTAAAAACTCATTTTCTTTAATCTTTTCTATATCTTTCATCTTGTTGTTTTAGAACAAATTAAGCTTTCCTTAAGCTTAATTATCATCTAATGATCATAACCCAACCTTAAAATCAATAATTAATCAACAAACAAAGAAACTCACCTTTGAGTCAAGCCTTCACGTATGAAGAAAGAAGAAGAAAACTCTAGAACCTTTCTCTCGTCCCACATGGTTCCTTATCTTATAAAAAAAATATTCCTTGTCAAATGACCCTTTTGCCCTTTAATTCATCTAATAATTACTAACAACTTTTATGATTTATTTCCAAATAAATCATTGAACTAATCCATGGTTCTACTCTAATCACCAAATTCTGAAACTTTACAATTTAATCACTAACCCGGTATTGAGGATGTTACAGCGTAGTTGAAAAGAGTTTTGTCGGTTGCAAAACTTCACTTTTCTATTTTAGATAAATGAGAACAATGAAGATAAGAGTGAAAAAAATATTCATTAAAAAAATAATAATAAATATTAATTAATGCATATGTGGCAGTAAAAAATTAATAAAAAATACCACTTCATCACATAGTTAAAAATAAAATGGAGTGATAAAAAAAGTTTAATGTTTAAAGTTTCAGTGAGTAAATTGAAAAAATTGAAAGTACAATGAGTAAAATAAGAGAAAGTAAAATTCAGTGAGTAAGTATGTAATTTATCTTAATTAATTTTTTATTATTTTAATCACAAAATTTATTTTTTTACTATTAAAAAATACTATGTGACATATAACTGTTGAAATTAACGGTTTGTCCTAAACTAAGTTACAGAATAAAACATTAAATATCAAATAAAAATAAAATAAATATCAGACACTAAATTAAAATAAAAGATATAGATATTTAAGTATATACAAATTTATAACTTACCAATAATTAAATAATTATCTTTCGACTCGCTGAATCCTCGGTGTAGATACAAAAATCGCAGCGCTTCTATCTCCGACTAATCGGTGCCGTTTAATTAACACCTTTTAAGAGAACCCAGTCGTTTTCTTAAATCACCTATTTTCTGTCCGTTGACGAATTAAAAAATAAAATTTCTCCGTTAGATCCACACAGATCTGACTACCAAATATTAATCCAACGGTTGGGAGTTGATTCCAGGACTTATTTCTTGATTATACTATTTTTCCAATTTTTCTTTTCCCACTCTTTCTCTTAACAAAAAAGCAAAAAGTAATTTTCTTCAACGGCCGACCGGTGCTGACGTATCAGATCCGGTACTGCTCTCCGTTCATTTTATCGAATATTACTTATACCTTTTTTTATTGTAGGGTTTGTTTTCGATAAATTTCTTCTATTTCCATGGCTGCTCCACCTGCAAGAGCTCGAGCCGATTATGACTACCTCATAAAGCTCCTTTTAATCGGTGACAGCGGTAAATATTCATTTCCTTTTGTTTTTTCTGACCATACTTTCATGTTTGTATTTGATTTGAAATTGGATCTACTAATGAAATCTACATTTTTCACGACAAATGTTTTGGTTCTTTGACAATTTTTATTTATGAAATATGGAAAACCCAGATGTGAGATTGTGATGTGAATTTGAAGATAATTGTCATACATTCAGCTTGATTTAGGCCTATAAACGATCTTAATACCATTTATTTTTCGTTAAGCGTCGTTGATTCAAGAAGAACGAGTCTGTTCTAGTTCCTTGTACGGTGAATATATGCTAATGATATATTGGTCTTGTATTTGAAAATGTATTCCATCTTAATATAGCTTATCATCGTGGAAATACTCTGCCTCGATTTGTGTTCCTGATGCTGAATATTGTGAGCTGTAGCTTGTACATTTTCATTAGGAAACGTTTTTCAATTCATGTGATCAACTGCTCTGCTATAAATAGCTATAATTGTCTGTAACTAGGGATTAATAGGTGATGTTGTAATGATTTTGAATGCAGTTTTTCTTGATATTCTACACTTTCTGTATTTGAGTTCTTAATAACTCTGTTTGCTTGTACCATTGAGTGGTTGGCAGGTGTGGGTAAGAGTTGCCTCCTTTTGCGTTTTTCGGATGGCTCATTTACTACAAGTTTTATCACGACAATTGGGTAGGTTCTTTTCTTATTACATTACAGTGATTACTTTTATTTATATACGGGACACGCGGTTTAAAGGCTGAATTTGCTTTGGCAGAATTGACTTTAAGATAAGGACTATAGAGCTTGATGGAAAAAGGATCAAATTGCAAATCTGGGATACTGCTGGGCAAGAGCGGTTTCGAACAATTACAACTGGTTAGTTTGTGGGCTTTGGAGGTGTCACTGACTAGAAATACATGTTTAATCAGAATTATAACATATATGATTGATAAATAATTTGATAGCATATCTTCGGCATTGTTCTCACTTAAGCTTGCTTGTTGTTCTTCGATACGATGTTGTTTTCACTCCATTATTATCAAATTCAATAAACTTTCTGGTTTTTTTGGTCTGCAAGGAAGTCAGGACTCGGGAGCTTTTATGCTTTCATAGTTTCACATTTTCCAATCCAATTTTATTATACTCTTTACTGTATGACATGGCCTAGGAATAAAATCACAAAGAACAGGTGGTTAGGCTTGAAATTGTGGATGCGTAGCCTTTCATATTTTCTGGATTCTAGTTACTCAATGTTTAAATTAATGGTGTTTCCTGTTAGTATCAGCTCTACTGGTGGTGAAAAATATATGTTTGCATATTCTTTTCTTTCACACTCCAAAACATGGTTGCATGCTCCTTTCTTCTTACTTGTCTTGTTTTACCATCATGGTTGCATTGTTCACTATATTTTTATTAACTCCAGATGTCTGATCTCTCTAATACATCCAGATTTTATTTTCCTCCAGAGTCTTGTATGGTGTACAAATGTATAATGTAACATCTTCATTTTTTGCAGCCTACTATCGTGGAGCCATGGGTATTTTACTGATGTATGATGTGACTGATGAGTCATCTTTCAATAGTAAGTACTGAAGAACTTGTCTTTTAAATTTTGAAATTCATACACTTTTTTGCGATCTTGTCCATCTTTGAATCTTTAGAAATGTTAGTGCTTTCACCAAATTTTGCTAGTTATCGGAACTTTTCAGTTCTCCGCGTGTTGAAAATTGAAAAATACCCCTTATCCAGTGATTTAAAAATTTATTCATTCTCCATTGTAATGGTCTTATCAACCGTAGTGATAACCCTTTTTGGCATAGACATTAGAAATTGGATTCGTAATATTGAACAACATGCTTCGGATAATGTCAACAAGATTCTGGTGGGTAATAAGGCTGACATGGATGAAAGCAAAAGGGTTCGTTTCTTCTCTGTCTTCCCTTTCTTGGTTACCTTCTGTTTGCCATATTGGCCTTGATTTGTTTATTGTCAAGTTGACCCTTAAGTTATTTTTCAGGCCGTCCCTACCTCAAAGGGCCAAGCTCTTGCTGATGAATACAGCATCAAGTTCTTTGAGACTATGTAATTTTACTGCATATGCCGTATCTACTTTTCCGATGTTCAGTTGTATCTGTCCTGTATGCTCAAGAGTCACTATTTTGCAGAGTGCAAAAACAAACTTAAACGTCGAGGAGGTTTTCTTTTCGATATCACGAGATATTAAGCAAAGACTTGCCGATTCTGACTCGAAGGCGGAGGTACGGTTTCTTTCGCTCAAAGTACTAACTATTGATAATGCAAATCGTACATTTTCTCATTTTGATCATCTTGTGGTTCATCGTTGCAGCCGCAGACTATTAAGATCAACCAACCAGACCGGGCTGGAGGGGATGCGTCAAATGCTCAAAAATCGGGATGCTGCGGGCAATGAACGAACTAAAGATGAGGGTACTGGGTACATGTTCTTCTCTAGGGTGCTGTTTTGGCCCGCCAAAACTAATTTTCTTACGACTACATTGTTATTGCTTGTAATCTTCTGCCTATCATTATTTTATATCTGCAACTTTTTTGTGTGAAATGTTAGATCCATGGTAATTTTTTTAAATAGTTATATATTTTTTTTTCAATTTTGGAAGCCAGATTTGTCTACTATCATTTTCGGAGTTCAAATTAAGAACTGCTTCGTAGCGAGAAAAATATACTAAGATAATTTAATTATCAAGAACAAATAATTTGCTCAGAAGCTTTGTATAAAAAAGTTTGAAACTAACAACCAACTAGTGGGATGACATATTAAACTTTGGAAAGATTCTTTCACGATCGACGAGCTGCGATGAGCATCATTAATTTAATTTATAAAAATTTAAAATTTTAAAGGACTCGACCTATAATTATAAATTAATTAAAAAATTAGTTAAAATAAAATATTAATTATATTATTTTACATAATCTTTAATGTAAGCTATAATAATGGCCATCTAACTATTGCTTTTTTTCATTTTGATCACCATTTTTTAAAATTTATCAATCAGGTCACTAAATTATTTAAATGCATTCAATCAAGCTACTTAACATTAACAATTAACAGAAGTGTTAAAGTGACAGTTAATAAAATTTGTATAATTACACATTTAATCTTTATTACTTACACAATCTATCAAATTGATCATAATTTTAAACTAATTCAATAAAACAAATGTAGTCTTTAACGTCCATCGTTTAAGGCCATGGCCTCTAATAGTTGGCCGTAAAACAATTGAGATACAAAACAAATACTTGATGTAATTTATGTTGGATATTGATATAAGCATATTATTAAGTTAATGTCAGCGTTTGAAAACCGTGAAAACGTCTCCTCTTCAACATAACTTATGGAGATGTACACACGCCGAAGATAAAACTGAAGCAAACAGGCAGTAGAATTGCGTCACTTTGTGCCCATTGTCCATTGCAAGAACTTCTGGACGCTGTCAAGCCCGCACCGCTCTTTCACAACTGGCATCACGGATGGAACCTCCAACTGCTCTTGAATTAGAGTCGTCTACTCTATTCATTAACCAAGTTGCCGCCTGGCTTCAGCTATGACCGCCCTCGTAGCACAGTGAACTGAAATCGCCAGTATTAATGGCGGCTCACCGGATGCTGCAAAACAAGAGTCGACGAACTTTGTTGATTACCAAAGTTCAAAAAAGAAAAAAGAAGAAGGAAATAGACATGAACTATATGGGGATTTAAAAGCTTGCCTTTCGAAGAAAGCATACGTTTCTGATGATGTCCGCTGTTGAGGATTCCACGTTGAGTTGTTTGGGAATGGTTTCGAGGTTAGGGACTAAGGATGGCAGACGGGTACAATTTCATGAATATCGCACCGTATCCATTTCAATTAGGACGAGGATGAGTATAAGATTAGTAGATAGTAGGCAGATGTGGATGCAAAAAGTCATACCCGCTGTGGGTAATGGGTAAGTGATGGATTTGAGATCATGCCCATATCGCATCTGCCCGCCCCACATCCTTCAGCCCACTAACTATCCACCATATAATTTTTTGGGCCATTATGAATTTAGGTACAATTTTAGAGACAATTTCGTAAATCTTGAGATTTTATTGGACATAACTTGTAATTTAACCCAATGTAGGCATAAATATTTTTAGAATTGAAGACATCATTTTTTCTATCTTAAATTAGTGGGTATGGGTGGGTACAGACGAACACATTATGGGTGGTGAGTATTTAGTTAAGTGGTGGGTGTGAGGATGTATTTGAGAATGTATCCGCGTGGGCGGGAGTGGATTTAAATATTTTACCCGTCATGGGTGGTGGGTAGGTAATGAATCCAAAAAAATTAGGTGAATAGTGGGATGAAGGAAGGGATATCTGCACCCCTCCCGACCGTTTGCCATCCCTGGTAGGGACTTTATAACTCCATGTTCCATTTGCGGTTACTAATTCATGAGTTTGTGGGGTATTCTTCAAACATAAAGAATCCAATTCCTTGAACATAAGCTCCTTCTATCTGCAAAACATATTTGTTTCCTATGTTAACCGACTTGGACGAGTACTAAGTACGTGTTCGATATGAATATGCTGATCAATTTTTTATTTTTAGAGTCTTTACTCTTGTATTATAACACCCTACACTAATATGAAACACAGTCAACTGATAAGAATGCCGCATATAATTACTAGAGTGGCTAACTCAAAATTTTTCTTTACCATACCCATTTGAAAACATTTATTTGTAAATGCTTATGATAAAATAAACAATAATATTTATATAAATCAATTTATAATAGGGAGCTCCCAAAATAACATTTCAAAATATACAGACCATCAATTTAAAACAAGTTCCACCTCGATTATACAAGCAGGGTTACGAATATACATGTCCTCCAAGAAGAACTCGAGAAGTACTCTGTTATGAAATATGGGTCTGGATCTACTTTGCACAAAAACTCTTCAACTGCTCCACCTATAAATATGCGTAAGAAAACAAATTCTAAACGTTGAGTTAACTAGTCCATGCCCACACTTACAATTAAATCATACAAAAAAGGGTTTATTAATATGCTCAAACAATTGATAAAACAATATAGCGAGTGTACTCGTATACTCACTCTCTACTATGGCAGACATTATGGTGCGGCTGAGGGATTTCTGCATCTCGGAGCTCACGCACCCCTCTAGTCTACATCGGACACAAAACACTCGACTAGCTCACCCCTTGCGAGTGTCGGACCTTGTACCCTAGCTAGTCAGTTTAAAGTGCCTTGCACACTACCTAAGGATATACGGACTGAAGCTGTACTTCGACACCCTTAATATTTCTAAAGAAACTCAGGTGTCCGAATCGTTTCCCTGACATCAAACAAGGCTAGTTTTATGTCATCCTAATTGATCTTGTTTCTATGTGTAATTAAGCATTATTATTGTTTCTACTTGTAGTCTTATTTGAGAGTAATTATATAGTTCTCAGGAACCTCATTTCCCTATTACAAATCCCTAAAAATCCTTATATCAAAATATACGCTGGTATCGATACTAGCCTTTCAGTATCGGTACTGACCTTTTAGTATCGATACTTTGCTCTATTTTCAACTGCTAATAAAGGAGATAGTATCGATACTCACCATCTAGTATCAATACTTCCAGGTTAGGGTACTGATACTAAACAGGGTATCGATACTAAAATTTGATTTGATTTTTTTTTAAAATAACATCGGTATCGATACTCTTACGGTGAATATCGATACTCTACCCTTGGCATCGATACTCAAGGGAGTATCGATACCAAATTAGTATCCTGTTAAATCGGTCTCGATACCAAGCTGTGAGTTTCGAAATCGATACCCTAATATTGATACTCCTTCTTAAACTTAGGCTTATTTTTACTCTTTTTAAAAAATAGTATCGATATTGTTCTTACAGTACCGATACCCCTGCTCGAAAAGGCCTTACTTAGGCTAAAAAATTTCTCTTAAACACACCCACATTAATATTATGAGGTTCCCATTTGTTATTAGTATATTTCGTAATCATGTAGGGTCATAAATAAGGCTTTAAACATGCTTGCAACATCTACCATGCATATGTTCACCAAGCTTTAATCTCAACCTTCATGCTATCTAACACTTCTAAGGACCTACTAAAGAGTACGAAGGAGTTGTAAGTGTGATTACCTAATTTTATTGGCTGATGGCAAGGCCTCTGACTCACTCAAGAGGTGCCTTCTCTTTTCTCTTAGCTTTGGATCTCTCTCTTACCACTTTCGCTAAACAAGGTAGAAAATGGATTACTAACTCAACTAGATGCTCAAAACAATTTAAATACATTCTCTATAATTCAAATCCACCTAAAAAAGGTTAGAATCCATAGATTCTCATAAACCCCTCAAAAACCCATTTTTTGGAACCCAAGTCTAAAATTTACAATGTGAAGCTTAAATTGAAACTAGAAGGATGAGGATTAATAATCTTACCTTGAATTAACCAAACTAGATTTGTAATGCTTGAAAACCTTGATTTTGGAAGGGAAGAAGAATAGAAAATGATGGAGGGAAGAACAAGGAGGTTTGGTGGGATTTTTGGGAGTAGTTCACGTAACATAACATGAAATAGGGGGAGTTTTCCTTTGAAAAAGAAAACGGGTAATTTGCACTTTTAGTCCCCTTGCTTCTATTTCCCAAATTATTCATCACCTTCATTAATTCTTTTGGGCCCAACTCAGCCCAAATCAACTAAACTTGGTCCAAGCTATTTTAATAAGTTCTTTGGGCTCCAACTATGGGTCTCGGGTTGACCTGAAATACTAACCCGGGATTCGGGGCGTTCCATGTATCATGTCTAAATATGTTAATGATCAAATATTGAATACAAATAGAGAAGTTCAGATTGCAAAACACAGGCTAACCTGTCCTAAATCCACAGCAGGATTCAAACTTTGGCCAATCATAAATGATATCTGAGCGCAAACTTGTGGTTTCCCCAGTAAAAAGGTTTACTTCCACCTGCAATGCCATATATTCACCATTAGTAAATATGAAGTCAATTAGTAAATATGGCTCACATGTAAGATGATAAGTGTCGAATAAGAATACGCGTACGACACGAGTATGTTTATTTTTTAAAATCTTTCATGCATTTAGAGGGTCCTCAAAGAATTATATCTTCATACTCATCCTAAAAATGTCTTAGACACAAGTGTCTGATATAGATACTTAAAAAAATTTGAAACAAATAGTATGTAGATGGGCTTCAAAAGAAGACTGCTTTAAAATTAAAAGAAAAGAGGGGATATAGAGAAACTTGCCTCACTCACTGCTGCACCATAGTATAGGTACTGCACAGAAGCATATTCCGATATAAAAAGTGTGCTTGCAGATAAGTTCACAGAAGTTTGATATGCATGCATTGAATGTTAGATGAAGATGGTGAAACAAAA